GCTGAGCGGACAAACAGCTGATCAGCTGTTTGTTGGCTCAGCGCGGCAGCCATGTAAATTTAAATGAAGCCGCGATCATTTAAATCGCGACTTCATTTGCCTTTGCCTATGTGTCTAATCTACATGCCTCTGACGACAGAGGCATGTAGTCTAGACACAGCCTAAAGCCTAACATTTTGGTTCAAAGCTTTGTTTAATATATCCTGGTTTCTTTGTCAACTTAGGAAAAGGTATTTTTGCTTAAGTAGGTTTCTCACTTATATTCAGTTCCAGAGAATTCCCCCCCTCTACCCCTTGGTGTAAGGACCCATGTTTCAGAGCTTCTGAGAGTTCTAGCCCCTTGCATGCATCTAGTGATAGATGTCAAAGGCAGCTTCAGTCCTTGCTTATATGTTCCAAAGTTCAATGACCTTGTTTCAGGAGGCAGAATGATCTGATGCTGTTCTGTTCTTCCTCTGGGCTTTCCACCCCCTCTATATCATTTCTACATAAATGGGGCTTCTATTGTTTCTGATTCCACCATCAGAACCTAGGAGACAGGTAAATAATGGTGACATTCCTGACAGTCTGCACAGACAGTACAGCCTAATATCAATGAATGTCTATAATTCCTTATGTTGTGGTACTACAGAACTTTCACAATGATATTATTCACCAGCGTGTCATTAGATTTTAGAAAAGACCTCCCTCTATACAAGTTTATAATATAATAAAATTGTACACAATCAGTCCATTATCATTTGAGGTTAACTCCCCTCACTCTATCTCTTGTAATCCAGTAAACCTTTGAAATGATGTCTGAAAAGTAAAACCCCAGATCAACCTTCTCTCTTCAGCTGGCTGTAGATACTTTGCTGTCTTCTCCCCTACTTGTCCTCTGCAGGGAAATGGAGCGAGTGTGCTCACTTCCCCATGACACACCACCATGGGGCATGAGGAGGTGGGAGAGGGCTTGACTGCTGCTCTACCCCATGCTAGCCCCCCTAATCCCTGAGGCCATGTCCCTTTGGAATGGGGTGCCATTGGGGAGAGAGGGTGATGGCGGGAAGAGTTGTGGCTTGGGGAACAGGAATGGATGCCCCCCTCCCGGCTTGCTGGGAGTCCTAGGCCGGATTGTGCAACTGCTGTAGTGGGGGATGGACTGTGGCCAGGAGTATGAGACCCCTGCTTTAGGTTATAATTCCAGCATATACTTATAACTCTTAATTCCTATCATGTACATACGTTGCACACAAATATTAATGCTTGGTAAGTTATTACTTGTCAAATGATGCCTCACAAGGCATATTTTGAACAAAGATGGTTACAACAGCATGTAGAGTTTGAATACAGGGAAACTTAGTGTCACACTCAGAAACAGAAATTGGTGGAGAAGAGTGAAAACTGTGAAATGGGGCCACAACTGGGGGATCTTCCCTGAAACAAGGGGTCTGTAGCGCAAAGGGAAGGTTTGCTGTTAACTGAGACCAAGGGGCAGAGGCAGAGGTTCTCAGCCTTCACCTGCTCTTAGGCCATCACTACCATGAACACTGCATTTCACAAAGTTCAGTTAAAAAATCTGTCTAAGGAGGAGACAAATGGGGATTTAGTAAAGGGAAAGGTGACAGATGGGACAGAGGCTCATGTATTCCGCCAGCTGCTCTCCTGAAACGGGAGCATATGTTTTAAGTCAAAGATCTGCAAAGAAGAAGAAGTACTAGTGACTTCCCTGCAGGCTTGTAATGCCTGAGAAACTTCTGGTGAGGCATTTTGGAATTAGGGGTTTAGGAGGCTCAGCCCAAATAACATAATTACCTTTTGGGATTCCACCAATCTTGTATAACAGCATAACACTTTATACAGAGTAGCAGTCAAATTCATCTCCAGATACCTCATAGAGTTAATACAGTCAGTGCCCAATCACCACCAATCATCAAACAAGTAAGAGTTCAGAAAGTGGATTAAAGGTAACAAATTTGTGGTTATATGACAATTGTGAAGCACCTATTCTGCTGTATATCATGGCCATGCAGATCGCCACAGAGACAGAAAGGATACAACTGATAGTCTGGCTTCAAAATTATAGGCTCCTTGCTATGTGAGCTGTGTGAGAATCTCCTGTAAGTAAAAACAAGGAGCAGTCCTATGGCACCTTAGGGTGTGTCTAGACTACATGCCACAGATCGGCAGAGCAGGGCAGCCATTTAAATTTAAATGAAGCTGCGATTATTTAAATCGCGGCTTCATTTCCCTCTGCCGATCTGTCTAATCTACATGCCTCCATCGACGGAGGCATGTAGATTAGACAGATCAGCAGAGGGAAAGGAAGCCGCGATTTAAATAATCGCAGCTTCATTTAAATTTAAATGAAGCTGCGATTATTTAAATCGCGGCTTCATTTCCCTCTGCCGATCTGTCTAATCTACATGCCTCCATCGACGGAGGCATGTAGATTAGACAGATCAGCAGAGGGAAAGGAAGCCGCGATTTAAATAATCGCAGCTTCATTTAAATTTAAATGAAGCTGCGATTATTTAAATCGCGGCTTCATTTCCCTCTGCCGATCTGTCTAATCTACAAGCCTCCGTCGACGGAGGCGTGTAGTCTAGACACACCCTTAGAGACTAACAGATTTATTAGGGCATAAGCTTTGATGATTAAAACCCACTTCATCAGATGAATTGGAGTAGAAGTTACAGAAGCAGCGGTATATATAAGAAAGAAGTTGCTTCTGTTAATGAAGCTAATCAAGTCAGGGCAGAAGTGGGTCATTCATAGCACTTGGTGCAGAGATGTGAATATCCAGAGAGTGGAAATTGCCTTTGTAATGCGTTAGTCAATTGAAATCCTTATTCAATCCTAAGGTGATAGTGGTAAATTTGCAAATGAATTCCAGTTCAGCTATCCTTCTTTGTAACTGGGAGTTGAAATTATTTTGTAGAAGAATGGCTACATTTAAATCCATTATTGAATATCCAGGGAGGTTAAAATATCCCCCTATTGGTTTCTGTGTTACCTTTCTTGATGTCTTTTGGCACAGAGACTGTCTCGTTTGGCAATATATACATGGCAGAGGGGCATTGCTGGCACATGATGGCGTCTGTTGCATTAGTGAATGTGCAGGTGAATGAGCTCCTGATGGTGCGGCTGTTGTGGTTAGGTCCTATGATGATGGGTCACTTCTATAGATGTGTGGACAGAGTTGGCAGTGGGGCTTGTTGCAGGGATAGGTTCCTGGGTAAGGATTAGTGTTATGGGATCTATGACACAGTCGGAGGCAGTGTTACATGTATACTAACCAGTTCATTACAGGGTTATTCAGGGAGAGTGATTGAGGTTAATTGTTCTAGCAGGGCTTAAAGAAACTGATTATGATTATCTTAGTTACTAGGAAGCGTCTTGAGGGTAGAAGAAGAGACATGTGCTGAACAGTAGCACTCCTCTGCCCTGGGTGAGATGCAGATGTCTGGGAGTTCAAAGCAATTATCTCATTTTCAGTCAATTTTCTGAAGATAGCACTCCTCTGCCCTGGGTGAGATGCAGGTGTCTGGGACTGCAAAGCAATGATCTCATTTTCAATCAATTTTCTGAAGGTGCCCACTGATTTTGGGTGCCCAACATGAGACCCTCCTAGGGCTGGTTTTAAAACTGTAAATGCTCAGCATTCTGAAAATGGCACTGTGTAAAATGTTTGCCTTAACTTCACTCTGTTTTCATTTCCTCATCTGTTCTGCAAAATTATTTCCAGTGTAGCACAGGTAGAGATAGAGAAGTTCCCTGCTCCAAAGAGCTTGCTATCTAAGTAAACACACACAAAATGTCTTAATACAAAAAATCTAAAAATAGGGAGAGTATTTTCTTAACTCACATGAGCATTGTGAGTCTAAATAAATTGATGTTTGTATAAAGGGCTTTGAAATCCTCAAATGGAAGGGTGGTATAAAATGTGTAAGTTGTTAACAAACATATCTCTGTGTTAACTAGTTTAGATAAAATGCAGAGCAATAACGATAGCTCCACATGTCCCCTGCTTCAGCAGCTGGTTCTTGGTGGGTTCATAGTACGGAGGATATATTGACATCTAAAGACAAAGAAAAGCCTCTCACTGAGCAGTCCAGCTGAATGGTTTGTTGGGACATCACGCTGCTAGTTGTGCAAGCACAGCTCACACATCAAAGGGGATGGTGCTCTGTTTGTGGAGTTTGCTTGCTTGGTCCTTGCCAGGCACCAGAGAAGCAGTCTTGAGGAAAGAACACTGGGGTATGTAATAGACCAAGGTCCTGTGTTTATGCTCCATTAATGCTTCCAAATCTATCTTTCTTTTTACTGTAGTATTGGATAAATGAATACACCTCTACCTTGGGGATTGGAGTCTTTCACTCTGGCATCGAGATCTATGGCAGAGGTATGAAGCTTTCTTTTAGTTACATCTGGGTCTGGGGGACAGTTCTACTGATCTTACAATATTTTTAAAAGAAAGGGGTACCCTGGTTTGTGCCTTTTGGGGTGAGGGAACTTTGAGGAGTGGAAGTCACTTATTTTTAGATGGGGGTGTCCAAAGTATGGTACGCAGCTCATGCAGTACTATCACGGATCTTGTATAGAATCTCCTTTTCAATATAAACATGCTATCTGCAAAGCTGTAGTAGTCAAGGAGGGGCTGTGGAGCATTATAGGCAAAAGCTATCCAGTGACCCAAAGTGAGACACATGCAGAACATAACTTTAAGGCTATACAGTGTCCCTTATTTTAATACATTTCCTAGTTCAGTGTTAAAAGAACACCACTTTCCCAAGATTCTTTCCCATTGTCCCATGGTCACTGAAACTCACTCATTTTCCATCAGCAAAAACAAGAAAAATACAATGCCAAAGATCAATCCTGCTCAAGACTTTCAGTTTGATAAGCCCATGGATTGTCATAAGAGGAAGGAGCACTAGTCTTCACGAGATATTGAAGCTTACCACAGAGTCTTTGGTAAAATACAAGTCAGCTCATTAATTTATGCAGTGGAGAGTAAAGCTAAAGATGTTTCGAAATCACTTTCCTTCACAGAGGAAGCCATAAGAGTAGCTATTATGTGGCTTTTTAAAAGGGTGATGAGTATTTAATTCCAAAAAGGAATGTAATATATAAACGGTTATGCTTTTATGGCATTTCTAAAGGTCTTTTATGAACAAGCAGAGCATAATTACTCTAGTATGCGTCAAGGAGAGCACATAAGAGATCATCTAGTACTTGGGATTTAAAACAAGGAGCTCTCAAAAAATCACATATCTAAGCTCCTCTGGAACAAGATGGTACAGCTGATATGGCCACCTGAATTAGTGAAAATGCAAGTCACTCAGCAAGGTAGCAGTCGAAGGAACGAACAAGAAGAAGAAATGAAAAAATTCCATGCAGGAGAAGGGGAAAAGAGGCATCCTTAGCATTCTTAAGAGCCATTGTTGAGTTCCTGGACTGAACAGTAGCAGGCTTGGCTGGGGAAAGTGCAGGACAGATTGTTATTAATGGTGGTGTGCCTAGAAGCCGCTGGTGGATGTCCATACAAGTAGTATAGGAAACAGGGATGTTAGCAGTTCAGCTATCAAAGCAAAGCTATCAAGGAGTACAAGTGAGAATGACTAATGTTTCCTCACTGGAGGAGGGGATGTACCTGATGTGTGCAGTACTCCTGGGAGAGTTCCCATCCCACTGTTCCTGGAAGTGAAAGCACTGGAGAGGAATGGCATGATAAAGGACAGTAATGAATCACCAGGATGTGCCCTTGTAGTGTTATGAGGCCAGGGGGGAAACTATTAGCACAGATCTAAAGCTCAGTGAAACAGCAAGGAGGGGAAAGGATATTCTCCTCACCAGAGAAGATACTATTCTCAGGTCGATGAATGCAACAATGCTTTCTTCACTAGGTTTCAGACAAGCTCCTCTCCATTCCAACAGCACCAATCTTTCTGCAAAGCCATTCAGAACTTTTCACTCTTTGTTGCCTTCCAGTCAGGGTCACCAACATGGAAAGGCAAGGCTTGTAAAGAGTGGAAGATACTCTGGATGATGCTATACTAAGAAACCAGAGAAGGAACATAAAGTAATATTGCACGTTCCAATGGCAATGCTTGTGAATCCTTCCACTGTGCAGTGTTTGGTAACCCTCTGCTGTACTGAAAAATGGAAGAGCTTTCTTAACTGGGTGTCAGTCCCATCAACTTCCCATATTAATTTAGGGTTTCTTCACCGTAGTAATTTGCTGCCACTTTGGCTTGCTGACCACATCCACTCAGGCAGGCTCAGAAAGCTCCACACCAGGATTGCCTAGGTCCTTCGGACTATGGAATATAATCAGGAACTGGGGTTGTGTGGGTATTCTGGGGCTTATATGTAACTGGACTTGAAGGATGGATTTTAGTGTCTGTCTGAAACTGACTCTGGCAGTGGCCCTAATGCCATTACACCTGCTGTGGACTTTTCCTTGGTAAAGCATTCATCTGATTACTCACAGTCTGTTTTTTCCTTTGTCAGAATTTGCCTATGGAGGGCATCCTTACCCTTTCAGTGGGATTTTCGAGATCACACCCGGCAGTGCGGTAGAGCTTGGCGAGACCTTTAAGTTCAAGTAAGGGCCCTTTACCACACACCACTCATCTTGCAGTTATCAATGAGCCTATTTAGGGTCAGCAGATAAGTCCTGCCTTGCCATTTCGAGTCTCATCTTTCCATTTCCTGCTCCCACACTCACCAGATTTCTCCTGACATGAAGCAGTCCAACAGGACTCTTGGTGTATGTGAAAGTTGTGCACTTGGATGTGGGACAGTACATTTGAGAAAGTGCCCAGAGCATTTTCCTCCTCCTATTTTCAAGTGCAGTTTGACATGAACACAGTTCTTTTTAATTTCGTAGTTTTCTTTTGTGCTCTAGTTTTGCCACTCAGCCAAATTCTGAGACTAGTACCTTGGTAACTGCTGCAAAGCCAACAGGAGCACAAGAATATCACATGTTGCTTTATACACTTTCCACAAAAACAGGAGCTAATGGAAGTTTTCTCTCTCGTCTGTTCCGATTTTGACAGCATGGGAATATATTACTTTTTAGAGCAGAAGAGGGAGAATTTTAGATGCTCCATTATAAAATATTCAAAGTGATCAGACTTTGAGACTGTGACTCAGTTAATGCAAGATGGAGCCTGTTTTCTCTGGATTCATATCTGGCTCAGAAAACATGAACTGACTCGATGATTTTACCCTCTGAGATCAAGGCCTATGTCAAATGAGAACTTTCAATACAGTTCCTAGTGTCAGATGTACACATGACAAAATCCACCACCCTAACTGGCAGTCTCAGTTGATGGGCCCAGGACTGAATGGGTAAAGAACTGGTCCCTGCAGTTCAGAGTTGAGGCAGTTTTGCAGGGTAGTGTATATAGAAAGTCTCAGCATTGCTGCCTGGCCTGCACCTGTTTTTGTGGCTAAATAGAGGACATTAGCTTACAGCGTTGTCATTCTGGAACTTTTCACCAGCACTAGGTACATGTAAACCAATACCACCAAATGTAAAGCCCAAACGTCTTGCCAATGTCTTGTTTTCTCTCTTTTTCTTCTGTGTCCATTCAGCCTTTTTCACTGTGTCTTTCCGTGTTTCCTATTTTGTTTTTTAAACTAGAGAGTCCGTTGCCTTGGGCACCACAGACTTCACAGAAGAGGATGTGGATAAGATTATGGAGGAGCTGGGCAAGGAGTACAAGGGCAACGCGTACCATCTCATGCACAAGAACTGCAATCACTTCTCCACCGCCCTGGCAGAGGTCAGCACAGCTATTTTCTACCTTTATGTACTGCTTTAAGACCATTGGCAGCACTCATGTGGGAACTAGGGCTAGCACAGCCATAATCAAATCTCTGATCTCTGCTTTTAACCCTCTTTGTGAAGCTGCAGCAGCCCTTTGCTATTCTTAAGATTTCAAAAGCAGTCAGAGTGCTAGTGAGGTCCAATACACAGGTTAATCACAAGTAGCTATTGACCCTATTGCCTGTCTATAACTTATATATCTGGGGAAAAATGTGGGAGATGAAATAGTGCTGTAGATCAGGGGTACCTGCCACCTGGCTCATTGTGTTGGCCACAGAACAGGAACTGGAAGGCCATACCTAGGCAGCATGTAAAAGCTTTTAAAAATTATGTGCAATCTTAAATTGCCCATGCAACCTTAAGTCAGCTCCCCCCACCCACCCATGCATTTGCCTTATGGTAGCATGTGAGTATGTAATTAAAGACGGTTATTTTTCCACAGGACCCCAGTCTCATTCAGCAAATGGGCAGTTAATCAATATTTCTTTTTATCCTCCACATTCCATGTGTGAGCCCAAGTCTTATTTACCACACACCTCCTGAACCCCACACTGAAGACCGACTTACAGATTTCCTCATGGATATTTCTATGACACTCAGCACTGTAGTATGCAAGTGCTTCACACACATTCATGAATTTATGTTCACAACACCCTTATCTCCATTTTACAGATGGGGAGCTGAAGCACAGAGAGACTATGGTAAAAAAAAGTGTCCCCTAATTTTGGATGCCCAACTTGAGACTCCCAGGATGTGATTTAGCATTATAGAGCCCTCCATACAGTCAAAGCATAGCTTCATTGACTTCAGTTATGGCTGTGAGCACTCAGCAATTTTCCATCCAGGGCACCTGTCAGGTGCCTTAATTGTGAGACTTCCTTTTCTCTTCCTGCAACCTCCCGTCTAATTCACTATGCACCTCCCCACTTCTGCAACAAATAAAGCAGGCGTTCTATAGACCAAAGTCTCTGTCACTACACAGGTCCATCCTGTGCACTAAATGAGGCAGGGGACCTGTGGGAAAATTGTGTGCACTCATGTAATTTACAACTGTATTGTAAATTACAATAAATAGCTTTTAAGAGACTGAGTCAGGTTTGTGAACTTTCTAGGAATTCATACACAAACGCATACACACAGCCATGCTTTCAGACTCTGAAATGTTAAAAAGTTTGGGGGTGAATTCCAGTTATAAAATAAGACAAAAATAGAAAAAAGTAAAATACTTAAGATAACAGGGTGTAGACTCTAGCTCTCAAAGTCTTTTTACTCACTTGGAATAGGAGCTGGAGCTGCAGTCAGGAAGCTAGATAATGATGTAGTGCTTCATCCTGGGAGATTGGGCAGAAGTTGGCATATCCTGTTGTTATCTTCACTTTCTTTCCCCAAAAGCGGCCTACTTTGTATCCCAGGAGTGTCAGTCTTCCTTTGGCTTACTTGTTGAGCTGATGGGCAAAGGCTCTTGGCTTTAACCTTCATGTTTATGGTTTGCAATTCTCTCACTCCACCTTACAGCATCTACTCCTGATGCCTTTGAGCAGATCAGGTGAGAAGTACATCTTGACTCCTGACAGCATGGACAATTGGATCAGAGTTAGATATTTTATGCCAGCATCAGTTTGACAAAGCCCTACATATGCCAGCAATTAAAAAAATATATTGTTGCATACTACAAGCACTGTGAGTTTGTCCCCTCAAAGATCTTAAATAGAAGAAGCACAGGAGCCTCTTTAAAGGAAGTTTAACTTTCCTGCTCCTCTGCCTGCCTCCTTTGGGAGAGAAGGCCTTTGCTCACATCTTGCACCACTTATAGAAAGTGAGGGAGCAAAATTCAGTAAAAAAAGCTGGTTGCAAAAACCCTAGCAAAAACACCAGCCTCTCAGCAATACACGTGGGCTATGTCTACACTGGCCCCTTTTCTGGAAGGGGCATGTTAATTTCAGCTATCGCAATAGGGAAATCCGCGGGGGATTTAAATATCCCCCGCGGCATTTAAATAAAAATGTCCGCCGCTTTTTTCCGGCTTTTAGAAAAGCCGGAAAAGAGCGTCTACACTGGCCCCGATCCTCCGGAAAAAGCGCCCTTTTCCGGAGGATCTTATTCCTACTTCGAAGTAGTAGGGCGCTTTTTCCGGAGGATCGGGGCCAGTGTAGACGCTCTTTTCCGGCTTTTCTAAAAGCCGGAAAAAAGCGGCGGACATTTTTATTTAAATGCCGCGGGGGATATTTAAATCCCCCGCGGATTTCCCTATTGCGATAGCTGAAATTAACATGCCCCTTCCGGAAAAGGGGCCAGTGTAGACGTAGCCGTGGACATCTTCTGACAGATGGCTCTGTCGTTTCTGGTATAGACATGGTAATTTGGCAGCCGCCTTATTTTAAAACTGGGTGACAGGTCATGCAGCTTATCTCTTTGGAAATGTCAATCTACTAGGGGAAAGGTTACTTTAAAGCTTCTCAGGGTAAATCCCATTTAAACTAAAAATAATTAAAGTTTATATAAGGTCTGTATTTTCGTAAATGTTATTTCTTTCTCAAATTGCATACACACAAAAGGGATAAATTAAGGTTGCACAGACAACTTTAATTTTGGCATTTCCTAATTTGTGAGTGCTTGATTTTGCAATCTTAATATTCTTTTTCATGTATGTTTTGTTGTAACTTCTATTAAACAAATAATTAAAAAAAAAACCAAATTCCATCACGTGGGACCATACTGATTACCCACAGGAGTTGTTAGCAGGTTTTGGATCTTTGCATACACAGCATAAGGCAGTTTCTAATAACAGTAGTTAGCTGTTATCCTCTATATGCATCAGTCAGTGGAAGATGGCTGAGAAACATGCTTTGCCAGTGGGTTTCACGGATATTATTCGGGAACAGACAATTTAGAGACTTGGGACTCCTGGGTTCAATTTCTGAATGTGTATGTACTTAGTTGTTACAGAAACTTCTGACCCTGCACCTCCAGCATGTGTCTCTTACCCCATACTCCTATCCATCACATCCCAGCTATAGCCCTTCTGCTCTTATCTACCCCTAAATTTCCACTTACCATCCTTCTGTGCTCCTACCTCACCTTGCCTTTAGCTCTCCTCTCCTTATTCAAGCCCTTATCACTTGGCTTCTGTTCCTCGCCCCCTCCCCCCGCTACGAGACGAGGTACTTCCCACTTATTCACCCCCTTTGCTTTTATCCATCCCTATTCCTCTCTGTTCTTATCCAGCCACACCCCCAGAAAGGCTTCTCGTCATCTGAGGTAGAACATAGGCTCTGTTTAATAATGCATAGCTACATCATGTAAAACTGAAGGACTAGAAGTAAAGAAGAATATCCAAGAACATTTTGATGTTGGGATTTAGGCCAGCAGAATGCAAGTACTCACTCAGCCTGGACTTTGACTAGGGGCACCAGGTTGAACACACAGTCCCATGCAAAAAATCCCTAGAAAGCTCAAGTAGGTACATGTGATCAGGATCTTTCTTGCTACCCCTCATCAAAGAGACGGCACTTTCCAGAGTACTGCTTACTTACACTATGGCTGGCATTAGCTTACTTCTGACATGGAGGGAAGACTGCTACTTACTGAATAACCAACACCACTTCCTATAGCACCCCTGGCATTTGTTGGAAGCAGTGTCGAGACTGCTACTTACTGAATAACCAACACCACTTTCTATAGCACCCTGGCATTTGTTGGAAGCAATGTCACCTACTGGACATATTCCTGGTACTGCTGCTGGGTAATCTTGGGCAAGTCTCTTCACTGTTCTCCGCCACAGTTTCCCCATCTATACAATGGGAATAATGATACTGATCACCTTTTACCAGCACTTTCAGATCTACTTATAAGAAATGCAAGATAAGAGTTAGGTATTACTCCTGATTATATTATTAATAGTACTTCTTGTCTGGTCAGTGCTTGTAGGGATATCTGATGAGATCACAGCTTGTGGTGCTCCCAAAGCAGACAAAATCAGGGGTCATCCAAAAGGAGTGAGTTGATACTGACCACAAGCCAATTGGCAATGCAAGAGTTAGCATTAGTTTTCACAACCACAGCTGGCAGGCCTTGCGGGTCAGATGGACAGCCATGTGCTAGATGACTGTGTTTAGCCTTCTTAATTTCCTCCTTTGGCTGTGGCTCTGTTAATTAGTATCTATACAGATGTTGCCTTTGGCTGGAAGTTTGGAAGCTACCATCTGGTCCTATGGACTGAAGGCAGACTCCATGGCATGTTATGCAGCCAAAGGTCATGTTACTCAAAGAGAGGACAGGAAGGAGTAGGAGCTCTGTTCTCTCCAGGGAGGATGTGCTAGGTTCTGAGTTCCATCCTAATAAAGCACCCACTCTTCCTGTTTTTGGGGCCCAGCCGATTGAGCCCCTCAGACAGAAGCCAGTTCAATCTGAGATGAGTTTGAGCTACAACATTCAGATTTAGTTACAGTGTCTGAACACTCAATAGTTGAGGAGTTAAGATGTGGGTGGGTGTGTAAGTGTGTTGAGTTTTAACCTCTCTCTAATTAGAGTGGGACAGATTTACTGTTAACAAGGCCTCAGAATGGCTTGAGGCTTCATGCCCACAGTTGTTTGTAGATGCAAATAACTGGATATAGTTGTTGTCATTTAGATGACACTTGCATCCACATATTAGGCATCTAAATGATTCTAGGTGCAACCCAGATCACACATAGCTGATCCTAGAGAGAACTTAATAGTTCATCTGGGAAGGGAGTGAGAAATTAGTGACTATAGCAGCCTCCAGTGGGGATTTTCTGATGTGAATGTGCAAGAAAACTGCTGTGCTAAGAAGTGATTTGTACCCACAAAAGCTCATTATACCATCTACATGTTTTGCTAGACTATTCAGGTTTTTTTAAAGTTTTTCCAGTTACAGACTACCTCGGCTACCCCTCTGAAGCCTCTGTGTTGTTGTTAATAATCTGGTTTCTTTCT